AGAACCCTGCACAGGTTTCGCATCAGAAACTTGTAGGGTAGCAGCGGTGAGGAACAGGGTTGTCCGCTTACGCTGATAGATATCTAATCGGTTGTCGTACTCGATTGTGTGCTCTCTCGCCCCTCTCTTCGTGCCTCTCGCCCGTGAACCACATCGATTTTTCTTCGTCTCTTGTTTAGCAGAGTGAAAGCCTGAACGCAACAGTTTTTGAGTGCTTTGCTTCGTAGGTAAATGGTTATATACTCGTTGCTTGACCTCTCCTGTATTGAGAGGCACGCCTAGATTAAGTTAGCATTCTACCAGACCACCACCGAGACCACCCCGTCTCGGACTACCAAGAGACCACCCCATCTCGACTATATTATATTTTACCGCAATTCCAACGAGACCGCACCGTCTCATAAACCATATGAACTTACACAAGACAACGTAATAATCAATTAACAAATAACCAGCAAAATTTTGGGAAAAAACCCGAAATTTATCGGATGCAGAAAAACCTGGTAGGAAGCTAGGGAAAATCTACGGAAATTGGACGGTAGACGGGCATGGGGGTCGCAATCAGCAGATGGAATTAGTGGGGGTCGTATTTTGTTATAAGGAATTGATCACAACGCGCGCTCTGCATAAACTGCTGTTAAAAGATATGAGTTGACGTGTTGTGACAAGTAATGGTACACTCAAGTTGGGCAACTCGTCCGAACACCTAAACTATCAGGTTTTCGTGATCTACAGTCTACATAAGCCGTGCTTGCTGCTTTCGGTGCTCGTGATTGCCACCCATGTCTTCTCTTAAAGACAGCTCCCGCGCTCAAGTAGTACATGGTCGTCCTTCCTTGTGCAAGTAGTACAGCCCCAAGCTAGAGACTGTCCCACTCTATTCGACTCCACAGCGAGCGAAAGCGAGCTACAGCCGCTGAAAGTTCCATTTCTAACGCCCGCTCAGTTGGACCGCCTTACTTGCTAGATGTCCTCCGACGGAGGCCACTCAGTTGTTCGTTGTTGGGGCGGCGGGCATTATTTGCAATTGCATGCCCTTTCGCTGACCGCGCTTGTGCCCATGAATGATTCTGCCTCTGCTCTCCTTTATTACATTTTATTCATTAGGGGCACATACAGTCAACTGCAACCCATTTCACAATGTAAAACGCGTAAAAATCACGAGCGACCCAATTCTCGTGGTGTATCAGGTTGTCCGGAAAGTTCTGCATGTTTTGTGTTACTATTTTTTGCACATTCATTGCTGATTAAAAACTCATTCTCCCTTGCGTCTCAGTAGTACATCCTGAAGAGAATTCTTTGCGCTATCTGATGGTATAACTGCCGTTTCACCATTGCTTGATGAACCCCCTTTTTTAAGATTTTTCAAGCATGTGAAAAGAGCACTTCGGACGATTTTTTTCTTCGACTATAAATTGGGGCAATCCGCAATCGAAACAGCTCAACAAATTAACCAGGTGTGGGGGCCCAATAGTGCTAGAGAAAGCACTGTGCGGCAATGGCTCAACAAATTGTCGTTCTGCGAGATCTTGCAGCCTTAAGATAACCTCACTACGCTTCGACCTAAAGCAAGATCTGACGAGGATTTTAAGGGGATTTCGAAGGCTGACCCATCCCAAACGTTCGAGAGATTGCAGAAAAGCTGGCGTTGGCAAGTCCACTGTTGCAGATGGTCTGGAACGCATTGGGAAGGTGAAAAAACTCGACAATTGGGTGCCCCACAATCGGAGTGACCGGCAGGAATCGGCACGTCTCGAGGTTCCTTCTGCATTGCTTTTGCGCAGCAGAAACGACCTGTTTTTGGACCGAATTGTCACCTGTGATGAAAAATGGGTCATGTATGATAACAGGAGACGTTCCGGACAGTGGTTGGATTTCGACGAACCACCGAGGTAATTTTCAAAGCCGAACCCTCACGAAAAAAGATTCTGGTCACGGTTTGGTGGTCATCGGCTGGTGTGATCCACTATAACTTTTTATCACCAGGCAAACCATCACAGCAGAACCCTACTGTGAAGGGATCGACGAAATGTACCGAAAATTTTGTCAGCTGCAGCCAACACTTATCAAAAGAAAGGGTCCGATTCTTTTGCATGACAACGCCCGCCCACATGTTTCACAAATCACTATCCATAAATTGAACGAATTGGGGGTTGAAGTTCTACCACACCCACCATATTCTCCAGACCTTTCACCAACCGACTATCACCTTTTCAAACATTTTCAGAACTTCCTTGCTGAAAAATACTTCATCAATTAGGGCCAGGCAAAAAAGCCTTAGTGAATCTTTTCGTGAATTTTTCGACAGTTTTTTTTACTTTGATGGGATTTCTCGACTGCTGTCACATTGGCAAAAGTGTGCTGATTCGAATGGTGCTTATTTGGATTAAATCCGATGAGTGTTAAGAAAGTTATGATCGTTTAAAGTTAAACACTCAAAACCTGCAGAACTTTCCGGACAACCTAATAAAAGCTCGACGCACTTCACTACTAAACATGTGCACGCTACCGTACCCCTAAATACGAACATCAAGTTTTTGAAAGTTTCCTTTCCTTTTCAAGTGTTTTTACACAGTGTATTTGTTGTTTTTTGTATTCTTTTTGCAATGGGTGATATCTACTACTGCGAAATGTAATAGATTTGTGAGTCAGGGGTTGCACAGAGGGAAGTATGACTGCCAGGGAGCGATTTCGTTTATGGTGCCTTCTCGCAGACTTTTCTTGCTTTTTTTCCTTCCTTGGGACATTACTTGTAAGCTACTGTTTCGTAATTGAAAAGCAACTACCCATGACACTTCTATCGCAGAAGCTTTCTTTAAGGATGACTTAGACGAATATACTAAATTTGAATATGTCGCCGACGCAGATGCCCCATTTTAGGCACGGTTTACCTCCATGTTTTAGACACGTAGGACTGCGCCGTGAAAAAAGGCTAAACGACCGGGTTACCATCGATACTTCAGGGTGCGCATGAACGAGCGGATGTGACGCAAAGACGTTTTGAAACGGAGCGATGGTGTTAGCATTCGCACTAGGCAAAACCCAATCCAATTTACCGTGGCATGTGCTTGCGCGTATCAGTTATCGACTTCTATCAACCAGCCTAGCAACATCGTTCGCCGTCCGGTGGCTCGCCGCAAAGGGGGGTAACCCTGTACAGTCGGGTTCTCATGAAATCAACACCTAGATGCGTTCTTTCTCTTAAGCAATTTTATTGATGCCTTGTGGCGTAATAATCTTTAGCCGGGCTAGTCAACGACCGAGTTTTGCTGAGAAGGCTGGATATTTTCGGCTGGCCATACTTGACGCAGAGTTATGCTCGTATTTCTGCTGTGCTTTGGTACACAACTCTAGAGTGGGAGAAACAAGCGATTGCCGTCCAGAGTTGACAATGCACGAAGCCATTTTCTCTCTGCAGGGTATCATCTGATTCCTTTAGTCTGTCAGGTATGCTATAGAGTGCATAAGAGGTCACAACTTTCTCTTTCATTATTTCAGCCCCTACATATAGGCTGTTTGCTGGCATACAGTCTATGAGCCCAGCAGAAACGCAAATGACAGCTTGGGCTTCGGCTTTCTGCGGCACAGCCAACTTTGAAAATCCTGCCGATGTGCTAAGGTTAGCGTTACCCTTTTTCGAAAGATCTTCGATGGCGATTGTATCGATAGAAAACTATTGTCGATATCTAAGTCGCTTTTTGATTATCAAACACATGTTGTGCGAGCGCTCTTATAGCATTTGTCGCAGGGTAGTTACTCCGGGTGTATTTCCTCCGTACCGAAGAGACGTAGGAGCTCTCCAATAACACTTGATCGGGTGACAAACGTTCATGCTGCAATTTTTAGTGTCGTGAAAATCTCTGAGGTAGTCTTTATACTTCGCGGCTTCACGGCTCCAAAATTGCGCAACTAAGACCGATCGCGCTCCTTTTCAAATCACTTTATCAATGTGACTTCTAATCCAGTCTAGTTGAAGGAAGAACTCTTTTGACCGTTCCAGTCCAATCGACTAGCGAAGCGTGTTTGTTCAGAGTCGCACAATTAGGAAATCACACTCGTAGCAAAGTTCAATGAAATGACGAAGCCTTAAGGCACATTTTTTCACTTGATATATGACTCCAAATCGCAAACTTTAAACCCGACAAACCGATGTGTTACTAGAAGGTGAGTATTGTAGAAACTTCAATAATCTAGACTTTAAAAAGGTAGTGGATCATTGCACAGATGAGAACATAATAAAACAATTGATAAGTCCTTTACAAGGCCCCCATTCATGTTTGCTGGCAATACTTTAGTGAAAGCTGCCCTCGGCGAGCATCTCTGACCGGGACTTGTACCATATCGTTTTTTTCGAAATTCGTAACTGTTTTCCTCTTGTGAACTTTGTGAAGCTGCAACCATCATTGGTCTTTGCTCTGAATCTGTTAAGTAACTTTACATCGCGCATATCAACGACATTTTTAGCCTTTTTTTCCTGCACAGTACATGCTCAACGTTTTTTGAATGAAGTTGTGGATATTGCCAGTTATTTTTTGGGTGACAGGTTTTGTCTTCATGAGCTTCAATTTTCGGTATCTTCGGCTCGGGACTTGAATATCCCACGAATCCTCTGAGGCAACGAAGGACTTGCCTGCCCTTGTGCGATCGCGTTTGAGTGAACTCTAGTTGAATCGCACTCGTTTCTCTACTGCGCTGGGCCACAAGTATTTTCGAACATTGATTTTGACTATGCATACATTCTACTATGCTTGGCTTTCTGTTTGGAAGGCAGTGGGGTCCACTTTTGACTTCCTTCTTTACTAGTCTTGAGTAGAAGGAGGCCCAGTTCCAACAACACGGTTCCTTCAAGCAAACTTCAGAGCTGAAAGAGAACAGGAACGGTGGTGAATTCCTTTTTTTTCCAAACGATTTAGTGCATACAGAAAGTGGTGTACAGAAAATTAATTTATTCGAAAGGGGACTGGTTCCATGCCTAATCAAACTTGTATCCAGGTCTAGCTTTACGACACAACACTATAGTGTTGCTGGCGCATGCCGGTCCGACAAGCATGTTTTCTTTGCCACCGAATCCGGCTGATGACTTCTCGTTTCTCACGTCGACCTTTCCAAGAATCTGTTTTCCGTTCGAACGTGATCACACCGGAAGATATGTCGCCCTTTGTATTGTTCACGTGTACTGGGATCCATTCTTTATCCTTATCGAACGACGCCGCCTGCAGCACTTTCATTAGCCATGCTTGTTAATGATAAGAAAAAGAGTCACGTACCTGCGGGTATGGTAGCCACTGGTAGTCGAAACCTCTGACATGCTCAGAAAGGTGGACGAGCACTTGGATGGAACCGACGTTCCCTTTGTACTCGTTCTTGTTCCAGCAGAAGTTAGCAGCCACCTGCAAGTATGTTTCTCATAAGATTTCTTTCTGGCCAAGAACTAGTCCTTGAAATGCTGAGTGTCACCTTGCCACCCTCGTTCCAAATACGTCCCATGACAGGTTCTCCAGCCTGGTACCACAGAGCAACATACTGGTCTGGGTTTTCTCCAGGGATTGTGTCCAGTGTCTTATCAAGGGCTTTCACGAGAATTCTGTCCGGCCACGGATCGCCTGCACGCAGATCCATCCATTCATCAATCATAACCCTGCATTGAGTGTGATTATACGTTGTATTTTCCAATATTTCTCCATGTGCTTTCAATCTATTTTAGACGAACTAGAGGGAATATGGGAAACCGAACTTAGTGACTTGATTCCTCAATGTACGCTATACATATCGTTCGGTTTTGAGACAAGTTTTTGCATGATCCATTTTATTCACTTTTCTGTGCTAACTCACCTTGGAGGTGGTGGTCCCGGAGCTGGTGTCGGCGGAGGTGGTGCAGGCTTAGGGCAATGGGGACATTCACAGAATGGTGGTCCTCCAACAGTATTTCGCATTATAATATACATCTCATTGAGCTGAGGTCCTTTTTGCTCATAGACTTTTCTCATGCCCGCAAGGATGAACAGCGCATAATTTTCAGCTTTTGTTGTCGGCGTAACCGAGAAGGGTGCCCTGTAACAGTAACGTCAAGCTCGTACAGATTCTGTCTAGTATTCATTCTTTTTTCCAATCACGCACGACGTAGTGTTTCCACCCAATAACCTTCCCTCACCCGTTGTGATCTCCACTGAGGATCGAATGCCCAGAGCTGTAGCCAGGAAGGCGGCAGAAATGGACGGCCGTGTACGAGAAGCTAGATGCTCCA